GGAGGAGGAGGATTAGGAAAAACTGAAGCTGAGAGAAGTTGAGCCACACAGGAAGACCTGAGTTGGAGCCTGCTTATTGAGCCCAAGGTTCACATTTAACCCAAAGCTCTCCTTCCCTCAATTCGTCGGACAAATGTTAAAGGACCTCATACTGAGACAAGGTATGCGGGCTGCGCGAGAAGGTGCCACAAGGTCAGACCCCGGTAAGGTGGTAATAAGGATTCAGACAGAGCCCTCACTTCCGCCGGCCCAGACCAGTAGGGTGGCCGGCGCCCGGCCCGAAACCCTGGGCTCGCGGAGAAAGGAATACGGACTCGGCTGGGGCACGAGGAAGACGCAGAAGCGTAGAGCCGTCCCGCGCGTGGCTTCAGCCACTCACCTGTGGAACCTTTATTACCACAGCCCTAGGACTGGAAGCCGCCATTCAGCCGCCGCGCTTCAATCTGTCGTCATCAAGCTGCGCGTGACGCGACGCCACGCCCCCTGACCCGGCGGGAAAATTGTCCCTATCGCTTCCATTGACTCCCTCAAAAGGCGCGTGCGCAAAGCAAAAACCCGCTCGGTTGGAGTCAGGAGATGCGAAAGGCGCATGCGTAGCGGTGGACCCGGCCTCTTGTCTCCTGAATTTAATGTCTGTTAGCCACAGCAGGGAGTGCTCCTGCGCTTGAACAGAAGCTGTTTATTAGGGCCTGGCAGCTGTACTTCCCTACCGGGGAACCTGTACAGTACTGCACTTTGAGTGCCATTTATTTATTGAGCGCCCACTATATACCAGTCTGTCTCCTTTGTGCGGCTACGTGAGAAAGCTTGACAGTACAGTCTAGTAGGGAAGGTCGAGCGGCAGGAAGCTCTCTTGGGGGCTCCGTGCTCTCTCCTACGGAATCCCCCACGCCTGACACAGTCTTAACACCTCATAAGCGCTCAATTCATCTATAAAGATGGAATGACCAAGCCGGCTCCCCAGTTGGCCCTGCAGAAAGAGGGACAACCAGGAGAGGGCGCTGCGCGAGCGCACAGAGGCGGGGAGGGCTGGGTCGGATTGGGGGGCGGCTCTCGTTAGCCAGAGGTTGGCCGCGATGGCCGCGGCTGGCGGTGGGTTGGAGGCCGCGACCCTGCAGAAGCTTGCGCTGCGGCGGAAGAAGGTGCTGAGTGCCGAAGAGATGGAGCTGTACGAGTTGGCACAGGCAGCGGGCGTCGCCATCGACCCTGATGTGTTCAAGTGAGCGAGTCAGGGTGGGGGCCTCGTGCTCTTCTGTGCTCTGGGCCCCTCCTGGCCCTGGCGGGTGGCTCAGGGGTCCGACTATGCTGGAGCAGGCCCTGACCCACCGCGGGGCGGGCTCACTGAGCATAGCGTTTGTTCTCACCAGGATCCTGGTGGACCTGCTGAATCTGAACGTGGCCCCCCTCGCGGTCTTCCAGATGCTTAAGTCTATGTGCGCTGGGCAGAGGTTGGCGAGCGATCCCCAGGACCCTGCAGCTGTGTCTCTGCCCTCTTCCAACATACCCGAAACTCGAGGTTAGAGCTGGGTCCCGTGTTCCCAGTGCTGTGTGGCGGGGGTGGCAGGGCACAGCATCAGCTTGGTTCTGAATGGCTGGGCTTACAATCCTGTCTTCCCAGGACTTATAGGGTCAGGGGCTAGGCATTCTTGGGAGTGCACTTGCAGATCGAGAGATCTCAATGGGAAGTTGGGGTGATCCAAGCAGGGCAGGGTTCTACTGCCCCAGCTTCTGCTTCTTCACTCATACCTTCATTCTACAGAAATAAAGGTGGCTTTGGTACCTGACCTGTCATTTATGGCCTCCAGGGAAGTGATTAGAGAATAGTACAGGCACCCCTTTTCTGTATTCAACCTGTGCCCAGGTTCTTGCCAGCTGGGCCTCCCTCAGAGAATTATAGATCTTGGTGGGAGAGTATGTCATGATAGAGCCTCGGCTCTGCTGCTCCAAGTTGTCATCCCTGTATGTTGTTTCTGCCCAGGGTGGCTGTCTGGAACCTTCTGAAATGTACCAGGTAAATGGAAAAAAGACCTGGACTGTGTCCCTTGCCTGGAAACACACACCCACACAGGCATCCTGAGGAGGGGCAGAGGGCAAGCCAGGTACCCTGTGGGGAGATGTGCCAGGGTCCTGGGAACTCTTATCCTCGCCAAAAGACCCTGGGCAATAACATCTAGGCCTCTTCACTGACCCACCCTCTGTCTGCTGTCTTTGTGTTTCTTTCTCTGACCTCCAGAGGCCTCCTTTCTCTCTGCCAGAAACAGTATCCCCTCTGCAAGGTCCTCCTTTTCCTCAGCCCTGCAGCCTGCAGCCTCTCCAGTTCTGCTCCTCAGCCCAGCTGCCATGCACTCGCCTTTCTGTCCGGGGCCCCCTGCTTCCCTCCGGTTCTCTTGCTGCCTGTTCTCTCCTTTCACAGGTTGCGTTTATTGTCTTATCTCTGGGGGTTTTGGTGTGCTCTCTTGTGTCTGTGGAAACTGTCAATTGCCCCATAAGACCAGACCAGCCTTGAGCTGCAAAAGTAGGACCAAAAAGTGTGGCCAAAAATAGGCCACACAGTTTAGAACCAGGTTATGCTTTCTGGCTTTGTTTATTGAAGACAGTATTTCTACAACATTCACTCAGACTGATGTCAAGAAGAGAACCAACACTTCTGTGTTCCAGAGGCTAACTGTAGTGGTTGAAATTTGTATGCTATAAGGGCCACAGCCCTCTAGGACAGGGAGCTGAGGGCTGGGGAACAGGCAGCAGGGGGTGCTGTTGGGATCATAGCCTCAGTTATGAGAAGTACTTCAGCCTTTTAGGCACTGTCCCCTACCTGGGTGATAGATCTGGAGGATAGAATGGATGCCTTGCCTCCCCTAGCTTCTTTGTCGGCATATGAGGATGATGTGTGCTTGTTCCACAAATCACCCTTGCAAATTGAGTCCCCTTTCCTGCTTCATTCTTGTGTTGTGGGACCTTCCATGTATCACCAAGTGTAGTGAAGTTGAGGACCCAGGACTGTGGAAGTTGCTCCCTCCTCCAAGCCCTTCCCAGACTGCCCACCTCAGGGCAGTACCCAGGTGGGAAGGGCAGACTACAGGCTGAGATGCAAAATTGCTTGAGTTTTCAGAGGGAGGGAAAAACTGAGAACAGGGTTTCTTCACTCTAGAGGATTTCAGTACCTACTCAGTGACCCCAACTGCTGGGTACAGCCATTGGCACCACAGGCACAGAGGGAACATGAAATGAACATGACTTGGGTCTAGTGAGAAGTGGCTAGATAAACTGCGTGTGGAGATGGGAGGAGGTGTGACCTGCCCAGTCACAAGAGGCTTCAGCATCACCAGAGCAGTAAGGGTTAAACAGGACAGGGACAGAAGGGCCCAGGGGCGGGGCCTCTGCACCCCTGCCAGATGGTATACATAGAGCATATGCTGAGTGAGGCCAGGCAGAGATGCAGGGAAGTGGTGTGATCCAGGCGACTCACAGGTGGGAGACAGAGAAAGTGGGGAGTCAGGAGTTTCATGGAAGCAAGTCACAGAGGGCTTAGGAGGATCATGGTATGAATGAAAGAAGGCTCCAAGGGAAATGAGGAGAAAGCCTCAATCATGAGAACTGGAATGGTCCCACAAAGTGCTATCATGGACTCAGTTCCACAAAAGCGTACCCCAGGCCATGGTCCTGGGAGGACTTCTAGGTTCTGGGGAGATGCCCAGTGTGGGGGAAGGGGAGCAGGACAGAGGTTGGCCTATGCACCCTCTTAGCGTGCTTCAGTTGAAAAGCCACCAGATAAGATACAGAAAGATCTCTGAGGCCTGTCTGTTACAGCAACAATCCACACAGGCCATCCCATAAATGACACGAGCTAGGGTGGAGCAAATAACCAAAGTAGGCAAAGTGATGGTGTTGTGAGAATGTGATAGAAGTTCAGGACTGGGGCCGGGAAGATGGCTCAGTGGAATAAGCACTTCCCTGGCAAGCACAAGGGCCTGAGTTCAATCCCCAGTTCTGCCAAAAAAATAAATAAATAAAAAGAGGTTCAGGACCACTGGAGTTGCTAACCATAGGTTTCCCACAGGACTCGGGTACGAAGTTGCCACAGATGATAGACCTGAGCCTTATTCAGGGTGGAGTCTATGAGTTACAGCAAGCACAAAAAGTGGGCTATCTAGGTGGCCTGCAGGGACTCATGCCCAGTGGAGAAGGGGAACACAGAAAACCTCAGAAGCACAGAGACAACACCTATAATATTCAACAACGGAACTTAAAAAAAAAAATTGGGGTATAACTATGAATGTCCATTTTGTATCTGTGTATTCAAAGTGGTTGGGATAGATATATAATTGCATTCTCTTAATGAATAGAATGATTTTTTCTAATGGTGTTTGTAAGTAGGATCACAAGTCTGCATCTTGTACAGCAATTAACCACTAAGAAGAATATATGCAGTGTATTATTTGTTGAAACTGTACTTTCGATTTGATTTGAAACTGTCTCATTGCTATATGTTTATCAATAAAACTTTGAAAAAAAAAAGAAGCACAGAGACATAATATTAGTCACATATTAGTCACTGTAGTCATTGAGGAAAAATTCAATTTTTTTGAGTATTCTTTGCAGTACCAGGGATTGAACTCATAACCTTGCACTTACCAGGCAGGCACTTAAATGGCTGAGCTATATCCCTAGCCCTCCAGTATTCTTTGATTAGGTTTAAAGAAGCTACATTTGGAAGATGTCCCTCCAGATGTGTAAGGTGAAGTTAGGTGGATAGAAAGTATGAGTGTCATGCAGCTGTGCTGTCCAATAAGGGAGCCATGAGCTATGAATGGCCAGTGTAGTTGAGAGACATTGCTCATATAGGTACACACTGAACACTGGAAAACGAACCAAAATGAATGTAACAGCTTATGAATATACGTTGGTTACATACTGAAATGATAAAGCAGTATTTTAAAACCCTCACTGTTTGTGAGGGTTTAGTCCTCGGACATACCCACACTCCCACCATGAGTAGCAAAATCTGTGTCAAGTTCCTTATATGAAATATATGGTATTTGCATATAACTTATGTATATCCTGCCATATTCATTTTAAAATGTAAATTATCTAACATGACTTTAAAGTGACTTTTAGGTTATTTTTCTTTACTGAGGATAAAACCTATGCTGCCACTAAGCCACACTCCCAGGCTATATTGATTTTTCTTAGAAAAATGAAGTTTCATTTATATTGCCCACACTGGCCCTGAACTCCTGAACTCGTGATTCTCGTACCTCAGCCTCCTGAGTAGTTTGGACAACAGATGTGGGCTACTGTACCTAGCTTTCCTGTATATTCTCCACAATACTTAACAATATATACTATAATGTAAGTGCTGTGATATTGTAAGTAGTTGTCCTGTCATTCATAGAATGACAACCAGAGAAACAGTCTACATGTTCAGTACAGGTGCATTTTGTTTCAAACATTTTTTGATCCACAATTGGTTGAACCTGTAGATGTGAAACCCACAAATAGGGCTGAGGAAATAGCTCAGTAGAATAAGCGCCTGCCTGGCAAGCATAATGTCCTGAGTTCAATCCCTGGTTCCCTCCCCCACTCCAAAAAAAGAAAAACCATTTTAGAAGACAACAATATGCAATGTATTAATTATTGAAACTGTCCTACTAATCAGTTTTGAAACTGTCTCATTGCCATTTGTTTTTCAATAAAATTATTTTTTTAAAAACCCCACAAATACAGAGGGCTGACTATATATTAGATCTCTTGGGTTAATCAGAATATGTGGTTGAAATAATTTTCCATTTCTTTTTAATGTGGCTACTAGAAAATTTTAAATTATATATGTAGGCCACAGAAAGATTGCATATATTTTGTATGCAAGTGCATATACGTGTGTGCATGATTGCACATGGAGGGGATCGCTGGGCACACCCACATGAAAGAGCACCTCCTAGGCCGTGTAGCCTGAGTTGTAGTACTCAAGAGGCTACCCATCCTGCATATTTGTCTTTGCCTCTAGGTCTGTCTGTGTTCTTCAGGTATTAGCCACTGTCACTGTGTGGCCAGAGGGCAGCAGTACTAGTTGGTGGCAGCACAGATCCTCTGGGGCTGGTGTTCCTGCCCACCCTTTCTGGTCATCAGGCCCTTCCCCCAGCCGTAGGGGGTAGCTGTGTACTTTGAGAAGCTGATTGGTCCCCTCCAGGACATTTTGCACGTGTAGAAAGGTTTTGGGGTAGCTTGCTATGCTCCTGCCATCCAGTGTGCTGCAGACCTGATGCCACCTCATCCTCTCTGCAGCACACCCTTGGAGAGGAATCTGTCAGGTTTTCCTACAGGCTCCATAATTCTCAACCTCTCCTTGTCCCTTTCTTTGTGTTTATCCTCCTGACACTAATGCCTACTGGCCTGTGTCACTGGGAGATGGTGGTCCCACCATAAAAGAAGAAAGTCCACACTTCAGGACCAACAGGAAGAGACAAGAGGAAGGGCACACTGGGGTTTCTTTTTATTTTTGTTTCGATAAAAGATCTTGTTATGTAAGCCAGGCTAATCTTGGAAGTCCTAGGCTCAAAGGATCCTCCTGCTTCACTCTTTTAAGTAGCTAGAACTATAGGTGTATGCCACCACACCTGGATACACTAGGTTCTGTACAAATCCTCTCCACCATCTCTGCCTCACCAGCCAGCCCAATTTATAGGGCATGGTGAGTTGATGCTTGCAAAGGGTCCTCCAAAGGCAAATCGCCAGAGGTTCCTTGTTTGGCACATTCCCTGGCTTCTTGGACTCCCCAAATCTTGTGATCCTTCATGGGATCACAAAATGCTGATGGGTCACCTGGTGGTTTCAGGGTAAAGGGTACTCATTTCTGAAGAGACCAAGCCAGGATGTTTTACACATTCATTGATGCATGTGTGTCTTTGGTGTGTAAGAGAGTGCTCTTGGGACTGGGCCTGTGAGCATCTACCATGACCCTTCTACCCCATCTGACCCTTAGTCCTGCACAGGTGAGCTAGGCTTGGCAAAGCTGTCCTTGCCATCTTAAGGTGCATCTTGAGCCTCCCCATCAAGTCACTGCAGACCATTCTTGGGCCTACAACCATACTTTTTTTTTTTTTTTTTCATTTTTTTCTTCCATTTTCTTTTATTTTATTGAGAAACAAATAGGAATGAGACAGTTTCAAAGCTGATTAATAGGACAGTTTCAATAATCAATACATTGTACATTGTTATCTTCTTAGTGGTTATCTACAACCATACTCTTGAGCTCTTTGTCCATGCATAACATGAGCAAGCCTGAGGTGACAGTGTCCTAGCTGACAATGGAAGTATGTGATTCCTGAAAAGGCTCCAAGGATCATACAGAGCTAAATAAACAGGTCTGCTTTTGTTACTAGACTTTCAAGTGCTAGGATGATATCCCAGGCCTCACACTCGCAAGACGAGCACTTTACCATGGAGCTATACCCCTAGCCTTAGATTGTTCTCTTAATGTCTTCTATGGCTCAGAGTTCTATTGGTTTATGTTGTATTTTTGGGACAGGGTCTTGCTATATAGTTCATGCTGGCCTTGAGAGCTCATTTTGTAGCCCATGCTGGTCTTGAACTCGCAAGGATCCTCCTGCCTCAGCCTAAGTGCTATGATTATAGGTATGTACCACCATGCCTGGCAGCCCTGTCAGACTTAAAGATGAGAGCACCATTTGCTTTCTTCTGCTGCTCTGTCATCCTTCAGTTTCCAGAGAGATCTAGTCAGTGTCCTGAGTGGGAGAAAAGCCCAGGCTAAAGCAAAGCTGGCTTTACAGTCAAGCCCGCTTGTAAGATCCTGCCACTTGCAGAGTGGGGGCTGTGAGCCAGACAGGACTCACACCTGAGCCTTATTTCTGCCTCCATCAGGAAATGCTCCTCACTGTAAGCAGGTGGGCGCAAGGACTGGGTCACTGCTATAGACAGCAGTTGTGCTCACATACCTGGCCCACGCTGCAGAGGGACAGTAGCCTCTAAGAATAACACCAAAATGTTGAGGAAGATGCTGCAGAGTGTGGCAGGACATGTTCACCTATCAGAAAAGGAACCCATATCCACTAGTGATCATTAGGGACCAGGATTATGGCTGTTTATACCAAAGGACATGTGTGTTAACTCTTTTCTGCTTTGTGGTCCTCATGAATCACTGGTAGTATAAGTGGGCCCAATGTCACCCCACCACATACTCCTGTCCACCCTATTCTTCCACGATGGCAGACCATTACTGTATCTTTTCTCTTTTCCTTGTTTTGAGTTAGGGTCTCACTATGTAGTCTAGGCTGGCCTTGAACTCATTATGTAGCCCAGACTAGCTTCAAACTCCGGTGATCCTCTCACCTTAGCCTCCCCTAGTGCTGGGGTTACAGGGGTGCACCAAAACACCCAGCCTTTACTGTGTCTTTACCAAGTCTACCATATACAGTACTTGAATGTGAAGTCCAGGTAGGTAAGGCAAGACATTTTTTCCCCTTTCTTGGAGATTGCACCCAGAGTCTTTATACAGGGCTGTAATCCCCAGCTTGTTTTTGAGTCATTAGATTGCCCAAAGGGCCTTAAAATTATGATCCTCATGCCTCAGCCTCCCCAAGTGATGGGATTGTGGATGTGCATCACACCTGGTAAGGCAGCAGAAAATTGGAGGTGGGGTGAGCTGCTAGCATTCTGAACATGGCACCATGTTGATTCTCCCCTCTCCAATCAGTGGGAAAGATACCAGAAATTATTCTCCCAGAAATCCTCCTAAAGGTCATCCTATCCCTGCAAGAATCTGGGGAATGGCAAGTATCAAAAGTTGGAAGAACCCCCAGAGGAGCCATGGTTACCACTGTCTCAGACACAGTAGCCTTGGGGCCTGAGGAGATGGCTCAGTAGAATAAGCACTTGCCTGGCAAGTGCAAGGCCTGAATTCAATCCCCGGTTCAAAAAAAAAAAAAAAAAAAAACCTTGATCAGACACAGGAGCCTCAACTCACATGCTGATGTGACAAATGGTGAAATGAAAATGATCTCTCAGACTATAGAACACAGTATTGTATCTTTACTTCAAGAACATAAAATTCCTTTTGCAGGCTGATTAAAATTGATGAAGAGGTCAGGGAAGAACTGGTGTCAGAGGGCCAAAGCCAAGGTTGAGGCTGGAGTTGCCCCCAAAGTAGCAGCAGACAAGTTCCTGTGAGGGATAGCCCAAAACCATCCTGGGCCAGTCTAAAGTACACAGAACTTACAGAGGAGGGCCGTAATATGTCCTGGAGACAGAATAAAGAGATTACCTATATCCCTGGGAGCAGGGTCAGCATGTATTTCTATGAAGTTCAAGGAACTTGGTTTTGGCCAGGGCTAGTTGCCAACTGTCTACTAACATATTTGAGCTTTTGCTATTTCAGGCAACGTAAATAAGTTGACAAGTGTCTGAGAATGGTCAAGTCTGCTGGAAAAAAACATGCAGCGGGCTAGGCCACAGAAAAGTCAGGGCATTGTTTTTTTTTTTTTTTTTTTT